GACTACATTACTTAGTGCTTCTGTAGCACAACCTCCAGCATACTGACACTATGCTTGCAACCACAAATAAAAGCAGTATGTGGAAGGCTGCGGGAGTTAACACAGACCAGTGTTAACAAACACACATTTCTACCTTTGGACCTAATCCTGAAGATATTTCCAAAATTTACCTCCTGCTCAAACCTCTCACTGGCCCTGTGCCTAAGAGGTTTCTCCTCTGACCCACTTCTGACATATTTCAGAAACACTGCAGGGAGGAAATCCACTATTACTTCAGTCTTTGCCTAATTTCTACAACAGAGCTTGTGACAAAGTTTCATTGCATTTCAAGCAGGAACTTAAGGTCCACTGATAATCACAGAGAGGTGGAGGAAGAGCCAAAGCACCAAAGGATACGAGAGAGCTCAACTAACATGGGCCATCCTACAGCTTTCCTAAATGCAGTCATTAGAAAAAAAAAAGACGACTGGAACTTCCTCCTAGGAGGACTAAGGACTCCTCCTCCTTAGCTCCTAAAATGAGGGCAGTAGGCTTTGGAACCAACAATCACTGCTTCCCACTTGCCATGTTCTTCTCTTTGCATTGCACTACCTGGAAAATCACCTTCCTTTTACATTACACCAGATCATGTAAAAACTTAAGCCTCTGCTGTCAGGTCCTTGCTAAATTTTCTTTATGTGAATGTAAGACCAAAGGGAATACTGTCACTGTTCTTAAAAAAGCATACACAAAAGACAAACAAAACCCACCACTCTGCCAAACTACTGAGTGACTTTTCTCCCCTGAGGCTACCATGTCCCATAAGATCTTGCTTAGATCCTGGACATCCTTTCCAAAATGAGTTACAGAACCACCTTTCCAGAGCTGGAATCTTGGGCTAACAAGCATCTGGAAAGAGAAGACTTCTTTTTTTTTTCTTTTTTTTTCTTTTTTTTTTTTTCCCGTTTTGCATCTTCCTGCAAACAACACAGTATGATGTTTAATAAATATATGATAATCAACAGTGGCACGTCAGCTTTTCCTTTTAAATTAGGCTCAAAAAGAAGAGGTCAACTGTAGCCCAATATGTTTGCATATGTTATATTTCTCTACCAATCTATTTCTTCCCACTGGCAAGAGGGGAGCAAGCAGAATTCAAAGCAAACACAATTTTGCGCAACGGATTTAGCAAGTATGAATGCAAGTGACAACTGCCCTGGTTTTCACTCCAGTGAAAAACATAGAAGCATCACAGCAGAGACATTCTTGTATGTGAACAGGTGGGCTTGTTTGTCAAACTCTGGGGTATGGTTAGACATGGAGACATGAAAGTGTAAAGAGCAACACTGCAGAGTCTGTGTCAATTGTCTCTCAAAAGGTTTCACATCAACTGTACTCAGCTAACATGGAAAAGATGTTCACTTGGTTGGTTGGTTGGTGGTTGATTGTTCAGTAACAGCCAGCCTGAGAAACAGAAGAGGAAAAACCTAGCAGAAAGGAGGAAACATTTATGGAGTGATGTTCCTTCTCCCCACATAGTGTGTTATATGTGGATATTCTGTGTGCTATGTATGAAACACATCATTCTAGCTTGGTTTATAAAATTGCTTTTTATGCTCCATGATCTTCAGCAAATGTACAAATAAACATGAGAGAGAGAGGGAATAAGAAGCACAAGCACAAAGCAACTAACAAAATGTGATAGCAGCAGTCTGCTAACTGGATGGTGAGAGCCAAAATCATAAGCATCCAGTTATTTTAGAAAGCTTTGCCAATAGACTAAATAGAATACCATGGGCCAGGTGTCAGTGATTATAATCCCACTGATGCCAAGAGAGTTGCTCCCATTTACAGCAAGCCTGACTTTGGCTGTGCCTCTGTAGTACAAGAAATAATTCATAAAGCACAGAGTTAAAAGCAGCCTTGCAAATTGCCCCTGGCACCCACTGCTTGCAGATAATGACCCAACACGGGGCAGCTCCCGCACACTCATGTTGCTTTGGTGCAGCCAAGGCATCTTGCTGAACTCAGAACAACCACCATCACCACTTACTCACACGTGCAGCTGCTGTTAAAAAATGAACCTGTGTGAATGCCTAAACATGCTACTCCAAAGCCAGTTCTGCCATGGAAAGATGGTGGCAACATATGAGAAGAGCTGGATACTTGAAAAAGAAATTCAGAGCTGTGACAGTAATGGCTGTGTCCAGCACAGCCCTAGGCTGCACACAGGAACATCCATTATCACCAGCTTCCAACAGAGGAATACACTCAGGCATATTCTTTCCTAGGTTAACACAGAATTAACCCATAACTAATTAACCCATTAACCCTTCACAGAAAGATATGCAGGTTTTAGACATCCACGGTGCTTCAAGGTGTGTATGGGTTGGCGTGTGAGAGCAGATATTGATATGAAAAATATTAATGAAGTAAAATCGATAGAACCTTAAGTAATTGATGCTGACAACTGCTCTGCTTTCATTTTGATAACCAGGTACTCTTCTCCCTCTACATGTTCCTGTTTTGGGGGAAACCTTGGCCTGAGCCCAATGAATTAGCAAGTCAGACCCGTGGGAGGATGAGCCTGAGCTGTCTCACTTGTCCAAAGTCCAAAGCAATAGTTTTAGTAATAGTTTTCCCACAAGCGGGTACATCTGGGTAAATTAAAAATTGATAACAAAATATTCCATTTTCTTCCTCCCTTCACCGCAACATTAAGCCTTTCCATTGCTGAAGATACTACAGGGATTTTTTTCTTACCATTCCTAAGTACTGCACAGTGAATATGTGTCCTTTCACAAGTGGAACCTTGTAGCTATGGAGACGAAGGATGTTAAATCCAAGCTGAAGATAGTATTTCAGTGGGGGCTTATGGCTGCTACATGTGTCTTCAGTGATCCGCTGCTTTCTGTCTCCTCCAGTCCTCTGTGCTAATAGCCAACGCTTATTAATACCATGCAGATACAGAGCATATGTTCTCCCAGTCCCAGCACTACTGCATTCAGAACAGGCTTCCTGAATTTACACCACAACGAGGAATCCCAATGATAATGGGATAAATAGCCTGACTTCTGCAAACTTGTGAGCCAGCGTAACTTAACCTGAGCAGCAGCTGAATCAAACTGCTATGGCACTGCAACAGCACCTGGAAACCAGGTGAGCTGGGGTCCCCTTGTGTTTAAAGCTGTGCCTAACACTCAGCAGCAGCAGGAAGAAATTATGCCATACTGACCTTCGGTTATCAGACCTGGTAGGTCTATCTACCTATTTATTTATCTCCCATAATCCAAATTATTTGGATTTCAGCCTCCCAAACAGCAGCAGGTGTCCCCTTATCTTTTGTGCATTATAATTACGATCCGAATTTCCTTACAATGGTTTCATTACGTGCACTTTTGGATATGACACAGGGATTCAACTGTCCTCCAAACCATCTTTAAATTAAACAGCTCCATACCGAAGCTAATGACATTTTAGTGGTGTTAAACTTGAGCAGGAAAACAAGGCAGCCTTTCAGGTGAAATTAATGCTCCTTGTGACAGCTGGTGAAAATTCACAATAACTTTGTTAGCATCTTTTTATTTCTATTTGCACTGCTAACAGAAAAGAAGCAGCCAAAGCACACATTGATTCACATAATGCTAGTGGAAATGACAAGGGCACGATAGGTGCTTTTCCCTTTCTGAAGGCAATGCTGCTCCAGACCCCAAATCATCTCTATTTTTGCTTCCCCTTAGTTCTGCGGTCCAAACTCAGATAGTGATTTCAGGTGCCAAATACCAGACATCATACAGAAGCCCTATTTTCTGAAAGTGCAAAACATCCAATTTTCAAAAATGGGGATCCAAGAATCTCAGCCTGCTGAGCACTGCTCAACTTTAACACACCTTTCAGACTACCTCACTGCTCAGAATCTACCATAGCCTATTCAACGTGCATAAAAAGATATGATTGAATGTCAGCAGGCACACTGACAGTGTATTCAGGTAGGATAACCACAACCAGGGAACCAAAATCCACCATGACCTCCTAATCACGTACAAAGTTAAGTAATGAGTACCGAAATGTAACCATGGAAATCCTCCTCATCAGGAATAAATAAGCAATTATATTCACAAGTAAAAACGTTTCTTACATACATATTAAATAGTGTCAATGACAACGCAGCAACAAAAAACTACAGAATTTTCTAGCCAAAGCTTAACAACAGAGCAAAGAAACACCAACAGCTTTTCTTACTTGTATTTCTCCATACTTACTAAATCAAAATTATACTGCATCCTTAAATGCATGCAACTACTGTCTTCACTAGAGCTGTATCTCAAGCTAAACCTTCACCAAGCATCTGAAAGTTTTCACTAAAATAGGAAAACCAAGAGAAAACCCCTCTCTCAAACTCAGATATTTGCAGATGTTTAAGCTGGGGCCTTTGCAAGGCTGAAATCTACAATAAGCTAATGAAGAAGCATGGATGTTCCTGGTTATCTATCAAAACAAGTAAATGCTCAACCCAAACCTATGGTGCAGTCTTGCTGTTTCCAGGTTTACCCCCTGAATCAGACAGAAAATGCAGAAAAGCTTTGGCATTATCACCAAACGCATCAGAAAACCCCAAAGATGTGACATGGGGTCTGGAGCAGAGAGGACTCCATGCTTATTTTTGAAACAGAAAGGTTCTTAAACTTCTCTGCCTCTAGCAATACAGGAAAGATGGGCCTCATGCTACCACCGATAATTAAATAGGTGCAGATGAGAGGGGGATAATGCACCTCTCTTTTATCATAGGTGTTTACTTCATCTTACACTAATTCTACTTTAAGTCTGAATTGTTCAAAAATAATCACTGTCACTTCCCTGATTGCTACAATTTAATGAGATAACCTTGCATGCTGAGCAAACCCTAAAGCAAAAAAAAACCTCATTAATCTTTCTAGCATTTAGAGACACCTCAAGAGCTTCAAACATTTACCTCTCCTTCCCAGCAGCTGAAATGGTTTTAGGAGGATCATGGTTCATACCTCACATTCCCTGGAGCCAGAGATGGTATACGTGCAGGGCCCAGATCCATTAACGGATACATCCATGGTCTCAGAGTTTGTTGGCTTGTAGTCCACGTAATACTCCTGTAAAGGGGAGTTCATTTGCCTTTCAGACTCCCTGGCCTTTTTCCTGCGCCTCTTCATGAGTGAGTGCTGCTGGAGCTGCTTCATGCTGGCTGGATAGCGCTTCCATGACACGTAGATAACCAACAAAATCATGGCCACGGAAAGAAAGAGGGCCACGCTCCCAGCAATGATTTTGTGAAAGGAAACGTGCTCGTATTCGGGTTCCACTGCAGGTGTTGGGAGGTCAGTGGAGGGGCTTGGCACCACAGACGTTGGCTGATTGCTTTCAAGTTTGGAAACGGTAGGCTTAGGAATAAAGACAGGTCTCTGGGGGGTTCTGGGAGCCTGATATGATCTTTCAGTAACCACCACCTGGATTTCGGCACAGATATTGTATGTCTCCACAGCATCGCTCACTTTTTCACCCTGGATTTGTTTAGGGCCTGCACATATCATAGTGGTTTCTTTATTTCCCTTGAAATTCTTAAGCCAAGTGAACAGAGGGCAAATGCTTCGAGTACATTCCCACATATTTCCGGATAGAGTGATGGAGATGAGTGAGATCCATGTATTGATGGTCTCCTGAGAGATGTTGGTGAGTTTGTTGGAATCCAGGTTCAACTTTTGTAGGTTGGGGAGGCACTGGAACGTCCCAGGCTCTATCCCTGTAATGTCATTTCCTGATAAATCCAAGTTGTGCAAGGAACTCCAAGTCCACGTTAACCCTTGGCTGATAGACCGGATCCTATTCCACTGCAAGTAAATTGAGCGAAGGTTGAAGAGGCGTGGGAAGTGGGCGAAATTGATCTTAGAAAACTGGTTGTGCTCCAAATGGAGCTCCGTCAACTTCAAAAGGCCAGCGAAAGCATTTCGGGATAAGCTCCGCAGGCGATTGTAGCCCAAATCCAGAAAATCGAGGTTACGGCAGTCTTGGAAAACTCGGATCGGGACGGATTTCAGTGAGTTAGACCGCAAATGCAAGATCAAGAGCTTACGAAGGCCTTTGAACTGCTCAGACTGCAGCACCTGCAACTTGTTGTACGAGAGGTCCAGGTTGCGGAGGTTGGGGACTGGGTGAAACGTTTTGTTGTGCAGATGGGTAATTTTGTTGGAGCTCAGAATTAATTCCTTCAGCCTGCGGATCCCCTGAAATGCATCCTCATCCACGGAGTTGATGTAATTATGGTCAAGATAAAGCCATATGAGCTGATTGAGGCCCGCAAACTGATTCGATTTAAGCTTCTGAATGCTGTTGTACCGCAACGATAAGCCTTGAGACCCTCCAGAAATATTCTGAGGGATGTCTCTGAACGCGTGAGATTCGCAGTACACAATCTTGCCATCGCATCTGCAGTTCTTGGGGCAAGCTCGCTGAGCCCCCGCAAGCACAACAAGCAGCACCACAGGAAGTAGCACTAACACCACACTCATGCCCCTCAGCTGCTTAATTAAATGGAAACCTACAATATTAAAAAGAAAAAAAGAAGTGCATTGTAAAGCTACCCAAATAATTCAGCAATGGGTTTCTAACATCCATGGGGTTTCTGATAAAGCCTTCGTGAAGCAGTGGGTTTTGAAGACAACCTGTTTGTGTCCTGGCTTGCACTTTTGGTTGTATAAATGTCTTTGCTTGCCATCTCTCCTACCTGCACCATCACCGGCACTACTCTCGTTATTCAATTACTTGTGTGTGATTTATGAGCCCTTAGAAGGACCAAGAGCCCATTCTCTATTTTCTGTTCTCCTGTACATCATCTCTCAGGGCTGCTGGTATATCCTTATCGCTAGATGCTGGGATTTTAACAATAAACATATTTGTCAAGTCACTGTGCTGAATGCTCCATAGTGCTGGGAAGGAAATGAGGCAAAGCTTCTGGCATTTACATGGTGCTAAATATGTTCCCTGATAAAAGCAATTGCAAGTTCAGTTCTCCCAAAAAGTGAGGAATCTACTTATCATAAAGTTTGATCCGTCTTTAATGCACCCATTTATTGTAAAACTAAAAATTGTAGGCTTTACTTTTTACACTTAGTAATTATATTTGAGAGTAGGTTTCACTTGTTCATTAATTTCCATGTACCTTAAATGCATAGAAATGCACAGAAACAAAGTTCAATCATATTGGGAAGTATTACTATAAAATGCTAGCACGGGACCTGAGTAACAAGGTAATGTTAGGAGACATTTATTTAAAATGAGTCCACAGCCTTAACACTTACTGCCTTAAAGTTATCTACACAGAGGGGTGAATACCTAAGCACTTCCTATTTTTGGTATACATTCATTGCATATCCTCTGTGAAAATATACATAGAAATACTTACATATAAACACTGCCCTTAGAGCAGCAATACACCCAAAGTTTAAGGGGGGAATTTCTGTATTGTAGCTGCCGTCTCTTTTCCCCAGCCCTGCTCATATTAAGATTCTGCGTTTCAGATGTCAAAATTCTCCTGTAGAACCGATATCATTGCATGGCCACAGTGCTATTTTCTACATTCTCTGAATAATTATGGAAGGGGCTGCAGGGGGCTGTCAGAGTCCCCAGCACATACGCACGCTCTCCTCAGCCTGCAGTGATTTTAGGACTGATGCCTCTGTGTCCAGAGTTGCAATCTTACTAGGAATTAAGATACATTCTTCCAGTAGGAAATATTCTAAGGGCCAGTATCTCCTTGATAAATAATCACCTCATTATTTGTCACATACAGAAAACCACCCTTGTGTTGCAGTTATTTCATCTGCTTTTAAACCAAGGGGGCAATCTACAAAATAATTCCTCATCTAACACGCCCCTGACTATGCATCTCTGCCTTTCACTTTAAGGTTGGATTTTTAATTTAAATTCTCATTTTTTTGCTACTGCCTATGTGTCAGCAGCAGCCAGCTAGAAATATGTTCTTGCTGTTACAGACTTGGGGGTTGGGGGGGGGGGGGAAGGAGGGAGGGAAATAAACCTGTCACACTTGAAAAAATAAGACTGGCAAATGACTGCTGGAAATCCAGCAGCAGTATTAGGGCGCATCTTTTCAGAACCACCTATAGAACCAAATCAACCCCTTCCCTTTGGCTTCCCACCTAACCACAAAGTGTTAACAGTCTGTTCTGACAGCCCGAATAATGCCACTACAGGCTCATGGAATAGGAATAGAAACCCAGAAGAGATGTGGTGCGGGCTGCCTCACGCATGCATGTACCTCTGTGCATCATGTGTGCAGGTGTGTGGGTGGTTGGACAGACAGGAACATACAGCCCTTCACCCCATGCATGCATGCACACATTAATTACATACGAAACCACTGCAGGAGGAAAGGTGTGTGCGTTTGGTGGGAAGGTGTGGGGGTGAATGCATGATCTAAAAATACAATAGCAATGAGTACAATGAGTCACCTGGCACAGGAATGCGCTGCTGGTTAGGCTGTTTTCCCCTCCCGAACAGCTAATAATCCAACTGAACAAAAAATATGCCACACAGCTGCAGCTGTGCTGACAAACAAGCAAGAAAAGTTCACTTACCCATCCTTTTGTCACCAACAACCGTCCTCCTCTTCCTCTCGCCAGCTGTTTTCTTTGCTCTCTCTTCCCCTTTTTGCCTTTTTCCCCTTTGCCTCTCTCTTCTTTTTAAAACTGCTCTTTTCCTTAAACCATCAAAATCTTCATGTCACAGCACGGCTGCCGCTCGCATCACCGCCATCCAGCGTGCATGCCAGAGCCCCACACAAAGTTCCCTAGAGAGGACAAGCAAGAATTTTGGGGATGAGGAAGGAAAGGGAGAGGGAAGGGGCTGGGGGTGGGGAAGACAGGACGAAGGATGGGGGGGAGTCTGTAAGAGGTGGGGGGGGGCGGGGGGGGGTAGGGAGGGACTCTAAGCTCTGAGAGCCATTGTGTAAGTCATCAGAGAACCATCAGCATTAAGTGGCAATCTGCAAGGAAAAGCTACAGCACACCGCGAAGGTAAAGCAACTTCTCTGGGAGAAACGAGAAGAAAAAAAAAAAAGAAAAGAAAAAAAAAGCTTTGCCGGTACCTAGCATCTCTCATTCTGCTGCCTTTTGCCATTCCCAGACACAGCAATCCATCTCCAGCTCCCAGCTCCCGAAGCAGGCAGGCCTCCCGTGCCGTGTAACCCCCCAGTTAAAGACTGTGCAGGATAGCTTTATCCATTTAGCTGGTCAGGTTTAAAGTGTTTTGTAGCTGTGCTGAGAGGCAGCTCCTGTCTAATTCAGAAGGCTTTCCAGAGAGTGATGATGCTTTGGAGCTTGTTGGTGCTAATGTTCTAGTTTGTGATACACTGAGTGCCCTCCACTGGAGAAAACAGATCACACATTAAAGGCATGAACAAGTGCTCCTGTCATTGCTATGCAGACTTTCTTCCTTCAGAAAAGAAAATTAAAGATACAGCATTGCCTCGCTTACCACCATCCCTCCCCGGACCCTTCTGCCTTCCATCTATTGTTCTATGTTTATGGGGTGGATTTTCTTGCAATGAGCACAGAGCATTGAAAAAACAACACCTGGTCCCTGTGTATTTGGTACCGGATCTCTTTCTAATCCACCTGACCTGGATATTTTTCTTCAGCACACTCCACACTGATTTTATTTTCCTGCGTTCTCTGGGTGAGCACAGGAAAAGGGATGCCTGCAGATTCAAAGTGAAAGTCATGTTAAGGGCAAGGGGAAACAGGAAACACACAAACTAATCATCCACATATAAGGAATTCAGTTACATGCAGCAAATCCAAGTGTAAACACACTGAAAACAGTCTGGTGTCCCTTTTTTTAAAGCGTTGAATTGTTGATTCTTTTCCATCAGCAATGATGAACAAAGCAACAATTTTGAGAACACAAAGCTGATGGTGCAGAATTCACCTTTTTTCTCTCCTGAATTCATCCCCCTTGGCCTCCCCCAGCTCCCAGGCAGTGACTTCTCACGCTGCTCAGGATGTCAGCAGGCTCCAGCCCTGTGCTGGGATCCAAGACGCGATGCTTCCGCTGCACTTTACCTTCTGCTATTTGTCTGGCAGGTTCACCTGGGCTGGAGTCAATTCTCCCTCAGCCAAAGGGATCTGGAGACAGTGAGGAACCATGCAGAGTGCTTTCACCTGCTGCTGTTTGGCCCCATTAACCACAAGCAGCAAACAGACCTCTCAATGGATGCCCATGCAAACACAGACGTGACTTCTGGGGTTTCAAAGCCATCTCAGAGGGCAGCACTGGACTGTTCCCCAATACTTTTAACCTGGGTTACAAAAAAAAAAAAAAAAAAAAAAAAAAAAAAAAAAAGAAAA